ACTAGGTCCTAGAAAGCTTCTTGAGAAGTTTTCATGAGGCTTAAGAACAAAGAAACCCTAAGATCCTTCTTTGGCAACTTCTTAAATCATCTAAAGCCTCCCAAAACCTTCCAAAATCTCCTATGACTTCTAGAACTTTCTTAAAATCTACTGGAACCTTCTAGAACCTTGTTAGAACCTACTAGAATTTTTTAGGATTTATAAGAAGTTTCTTAGAATATTCTATAATCTCCTAGAATCTTCTCAAATCTTCTTCAATTGTATATCTGTGACACCTTGAACTAAATGATGACTATTGACATGCTACCAAAAGTAAACATTTTAACATTCACTTTGATACCAATGAAAGAAGACTACACTATCTCAAAAACTCAAGATTGTTTCAATCTACAAGAATATAAGACCTCTTTACAAAATAAGACAAAATATGGAAGAACAAAATTGAATGGAACTAGATAGAATAAGACATGAAAGACAAATTGAGCAAACAAAAATAAAACAGAATAGATCTAAACACAGAGATACAAAATCAAATTTTACTAAGAGAAAAGATCCAAAGCCATACCTAATCAGATGCCTTAAAAGGCCCTAGCTAGTCGTACTTATACATTATCCTACTATTATAGACTTTCTAGAATGTTCTTAAATGGTGGATTTTATCTAAATAATTACTTTAAATTCTTTTTTTAAAAATTCTATGATAGGCCCTTCTTAAATAATCATCCTAAACTTTCTTTTAGAAGATTCTATAGTAGGTTCCACTTAAATAACTACTCTAAATCCTTTCTATAATATTCTACAATGGATTCTACTTGGTCCATTAACCTAACTCTAATTCTAGAAACTTCCATGATTTTAATTATCTATATAATTATCTTATCTATACCCTGTTATAACTATTATCTAGAAGGTGCTTCAAATCAAGTCATTGTGTATACAAATTTAAAAAATCTTAAATATTTTATGCCAATATGTATATTAAATTATTAATAGGCTTGTTAGAGTATGTATTTGTCAAGATTTAAATTTAAGATTAGTTATTGATTAAAAAAATAATAAAATTTATGAAATGAACTTTTTTAATTTTTTTATCTTGTACCAAAAGAAGAAGATGTAGATTTTGATGAATAAAGAAAGATCATTTTAAAGCCAAAGTAATTTTTTCTTTGAGCAATGAAACCAATATTAATTGCTGATTCAAACTTTTTAGAATAAGTTCAATCAAAGATATCTTTAAATACTCTAATTCATAATATTAAGAATAATTATTCTAAATCATATACTTCTAAGTTCAAATTTAAGAATAATATATTCTAATTCAAATAATACTTATATGTTCCAAAAAAATGAAGCACAATTATGTATTCTTCTAGCTTATCACAACTTCCTAATTACATGATATTTTAGATACAATAAGACCTCATAGCTAATATTTTGAGATTTTTATTGGTTTCAAATTTGGAAGGCAATTAAAGACCTTGAATAATCATATTACATATATTTAAGATTAAAAATTCTTTATACACTTTTAATCTAAATCCAAACAACAATCTTTTGTTTCTATGGATTTTATTGTGTATCTTTTTATTTCAAAAAAAGAATTGTATAAACATATATAAAGTAAAATCTGAATATTTCTTTCATAATATCATAATATTATAGATTTTATAATATCTTGTAGAAAAGCTTTATAGACATGTATTTGATTTTATATATGTTTATCATTGATTGATAGGTTTGAAACTAAACCAACAAGTTGGCCATGTGTCGTACATATTAACAAATTATAATACAAGTTGGCCATGGGGAGCACATATAAGAAACTTGTCTTGTAAGTTAGACATGTGTATTGCAAATTAGATATGTATTGGAGGTCTTATATAACACTGCTATGTAGCTCTTAACTAAGATTATATATATGGAGGCAAGAGTGAAGTCTTCTTCACTCTTATTAATATCTTTCTAGTCTTTAGTCTTATTTCAAGAATCTCTAATTTTTCTTGTCTTTAACAATAGCCATTTTAGTTCATCAATTACAACTTTTGGAATATATCTTTAGATGATTAACTACTCTTTTTTAGTGATAAAATAATGTATTAATTTTTTTTATTCTTTGTGATTTATATCCTTGAAATTATATGGATATATATATATATATATATATATATTATAAAATAATCAAAAATTAAGGAGATTAAATGCAATCAAAGAATGATTAGAGAATGTAAGAAGCAAGCCTGAAAATCAATCCAATAAATTACTATTGCATTCATTGTTCATATAAACAACAAAAATCAAGTAGAAAAATAAAATAGAATCATATTTTTGCTTGCAAAACAACAAAATTTGAGTGATGAAAGAAATACATATTATATTGTAGCTGGGCCTTATTTTCTATTAAAAAAATTTAAAAATTAAAAATCTAAAAAATATATATATAAATATATATTTATATAGCACCAATCTTTTAAAAAAATATAATATTTTTAGTATCAAATAAGATAATTTGTCTTTAAAAAGACTATTAAATAATTAAATTGTTTTAAGATCATTCTAAGATCATACATTTATTATCTAGGGATATACTGTATTAATTTAAATAAACTTAGGCACAATTTGGCTAATAATTAATTAGGTACTAAAACTATGAGACATGCTAATTTGAGCATATAGATATATATTATATATATCTTCTATGTACTAAATACATCTATGGTTTGATTCCATAATTGAAAGCAATATACTTATCTTGTATGTTATCTTTACAATAAATGACAAAATGTACAATTAAATACATACATCAATAAAACAAAACACAGAGAGGGGCAATGAAATAAGCCTCAGAATAATTAGAAACAATCTTACATATTGTAAAATAGCAATCCAAGGTTTTAGCAACTAGCTAAAGTCATTACTAATTGATTAGAAATTTAAGTAAACTAGCAAGATGTTTATATTGGCTTCAGAACTTGCTCAATTTTAATTGATTATGTACACAAGTCTAATATTAAGCATTGACTATAATTCTATTAAATATCAAATATGATAGTTTTCTATGTTTTTATAAATTTTTTAAACAAAAAGTAATTAATCTAGTTTAGTATTTTGGAGGCCTAATAGAATGCTTATAAAAGTTTAAAGTCAAAATTTTATTTTTGGATAAAAAATATTATTTTAAAAATAATTAGAATTATAAATTTATATAAGTATTATATGTGTATGGATATATATATATATATATATATATATATACATATGCGCACTTTTATATAGACATTATTTTGTATACTTAAAAAATATATGTGATTAGTTATTTTTAAATTAAAAATATTTGTAATATTCTATTATATTTACATTTTATCTTTATTAAAATTTATATTTTTTATTAACTGATTATAAAAAAAATTAAATAAAATGATATTATTAAATTATTAAAAAATAATAAATAAAATTAAAAACTATTATAAAATTAAAACTATTTTTTGTATTTCATAATATTCTTCTTTTAATAAAATTATAAAAGATCAAAGAAAAAGATATTTTAAATAAATAATATTTTTATTCTAATATAAATTATCAATTTTATTTTAAAGATATCTGGTTAATACAATTATTCTTTGATAAATTTATTTTTCAAAATCTAATTTCAAAACAGATAAAATCTCCCTATGTACAATCAAAAAACAAAAGGAAAGATAGAGTGCAACTATATCCTTTGTCTTAATCCTTGACATATAACACTAAATAAATAAGAAACATCCTTGCCCACTTTTTATACAATCAAACGGATTTTTAGACAAGAACATTGAGTTTTGCACAATCAAACAAAAGTCCATAGATATTTTTAACATGTATACAAAAAATATGTCTATACAAGCTATTGCCACAATTGACATGCAACAACTTTAATTCATGAAAGAAAAAAAGAAGGAATCTTTTCTTGAAAAATCATGGTTTTTTTTTTTTTTTCTAATAACATCCAATGATAAGTTGTTTGCAAAATAAAGTCTTTTAATTTTATTTTATTTATTTCATTTTATTTTTTAATGTCTTCAAGTAATATTTACTATGTCTTGTCCAAATCCAATTAGATATGTTTGATTTCCAAAATTGCATGCATAAATGATCATCTTGCATAGGTAGTGAGTTATTCTTGTTTTATTGAATCCTAATCAAAATCTATATTAATACTTGTAGATAGAAATAAATTTATCTCTAAAACCTAAGTAAAAATAAATAAATAAATTGAAAAATAATTTAAATCATACTAAGAAACTTCATTTATCTAATTTTAACAGTTGTGATATTGAAACAATTATTAGTTTTTTTACTAAATTTTAATAATTTATGATTATTCTATCATTAGTAGAAAAATATATATAAATAAATGTAATTATCTTATAATATATCAACATCTTATTGTTTTAATCATATATACATTAAATCAATAAGATGTTGATATATTATAAACATGATCTTCTTGATTTAATCATATACATGTCTTCATTTTCCAGGATACCTTTCAATTATCTTCAGGAAATAAGTAAGCAAACTCATTTACTGGTACTTTACATAAAACGTTGGGCGATGTCCTCGCTATGAACTGATACTGGAGAGGAGAATCAGAGTGGGAACGGACAAGGAGAACGCGGGAACTCGCAGGGGACGATCAACAATTGGTGGAGCATTTTAGGGCTTAGAGCTTGGCATTCTCTCCTCATCAAAGCCAACGCCATTGTCCCTTATGCAGCTTTGCCGAGGATTGCTTCTCTATCGGATTGCGGTGGGGATCGTGGGACGGAGGGCCAGGCTTCCTCTCCGCACCTCCACGACTCTCGCCTCTAGTGTGCCCAGGCATGTGGTCTTTTCTTCCCCCTATCTCCATTCGATTTCGCGTCTTATCACATGTTTCTTTTCAATATTCGCCACATTAGGGTTTCGAGCTTCAGTTCGAAGACCTCCCCGTTTTTCATTTTTAATACGACATATTTTCAGGTTTATTTTTTGTGACGTGAGAGTGTCGACGGGTGTGGAGATTACGTGTGTGTTACGACGCTTTGGCTGTTCTTGGTGGTTTGTCGCTTCACTGTAGGCACTTGTTGCTCTATCTGGATTTTCGAGGTTGTTGATTGTAGTCTTTGTATAGTGCGTGGCGTGGAGATCATCGAAGGTTCCTGTGGTGGAATATTTAGTAGCGTGGGGACTGGGAATACGTGCGGTGCATCCAATTAAGAATCTGAAGCTTTTAGTAGCCAAATCTTCAACATGTGCGTAAATACTTCATAATATGTAGCTGTCTGTTGAGTACGACCTAGGGCAGCCTATGTAGTGATTTGCTTGAGCAAGTTGTTGGTGCCAGTTATTTCTTTCATGGGTGGGTGAAGAGCCATATAGACCTATCTGTTAATGTCACTTTTTGTATTTGAATGTGTATTTGTATTTTATTTACTTGTTGGTTTATTTTCATATTTTCTCATGGTTGGTTGATTAATGGAATGGTGCCTGCAGCAGTAGCTGTTCGCAATGTCGGGTTACGTAGGAGGGGGCGGGGGTGGCCGATATCACGATGGGGGAGGTTCAGGGGGTGCGATAGGTGATCGAGGAGGCCCGCGGGGTGGGGGTGGAGGTGGTCAGCGTGGTGGCTTTCGCGATGGAGGCGCAGGAGGGAGAGGAGGTTATGGAGGTGGTGGTGGAGGGTACGGTGGAGGTGGAGTCCATGGTGGCTATGGCGGCGGCGGCGGAGGGTTCGATCGGGGAGGCCCACGAGGGGGTGGAGGCGGGGACAGAAGCGGGGACTGGACATGCCCCAACGTTACCTGCGGCAACGTGAATTTTGCGCGAAGGATGGAATGCAACAAGTGTCAAGCTCCAAAGCCTCAATCTACTGGGGGCGGAGGAGGTGGTGGTGGTGGATATGGAGGGGAACAGGGCGGAGGAAGCTACGGTGGAAGACAGGGTGGTGGGAACAGTTATGATGAGCCTGGTCATGGTGGATACGGCGGGAGAGGTTACGACCGAGAGCAGGGTAGATCACACGAAAGCAGGGGAGGAGGAGGAGGAGGAGGATACGGAGCTCAGTCAAGAGAAGAAAGCAAGGATGCAGTGGATGTTCCAGTGAAGCAATGTGATGAAAACTGCGGCGATAGTTGCGATAATGCAAGAATTTATATTTCAGGGTTGCCTCTAGATGTGAAGGAAGACGAACTGCGAGAGCTTTTCGGCGGTATTGGACAGGTTGCAAGAATTAAACAAAAGCGTGGGTACAAAGATCAGTGGCCGTACAACATCAAGATATATCAAGATGAAAGTGGAAAGAATAAGGGAGATGCAGTGTTGAGCTATGAAGATCCACACGCCGCGCACTCGGCGGGAGGCTTTTTTAATGATTACGAAATGAGAGGGCACAAAATAAAAGTTGCTATGGCAGCAAAATCAGCCCCGAAGCCGCCTCCCCCGAGCGGGGGTGGATATCGCGGCGGGCACCGTGGCGGTGGTGGCCCTGACAGACGTGATGGTGGTGGTTATCGGCCTCGTCCTTACTGAGTGGGAGGCAGAGGTAGTTAAGGTTGCAACTATTAGTGTCCTTGTTCATGTAGAATCTACTGTGGCTTTTCTGTGTGGTTAGATAGTCAATTCTGCAAGATAGAAGCCATTGCAGACGTAGGTGTTCGCCTGTAACTAGGTGAAGCGAGTGTAACTGTTTGTGTACATGTACTGATTACAGACAAGCATGGCTTCTATGGGCTGAAGAGAGCAGTTTCATAAGCGAGTGTTCTTTGATGGACTGTTTTCGTGGAGATGTGCGTGCGCTGTGAGTAGGTCTTCATGTGCTGCATGTTGCTATTGCTGGGTGACGTAGAATTGTTGATGCAGGGGTGGCTGGAATGGAATCCTTTGGTGCACCTAGTATCTTTGAGTACGAATCTTGTATGAAGCAATTGGAGTAGGTGGAAGAAGGGGATGCGAGGCGCTTTGAGGTTCTGGGATTACATTTCCTGGTGCAATTCAGGAGTGGAAATAGCAATGTGTTCAGGCAAGTAAAAAAAAATGGCGTGTGTTAAGCGGGGGGAAAGAGTGCGAGCATATCTAATGCATTTTTTTCGGGTGATCAAGGTATTGTGCTACAAAATGTGTTCGATGCTGCGGGCGTCGTAGTCGCAGCTGCTTGATTCAATAATGTTCGCTCTGCGAGAGATACGGGTTCTAGCTTGAAGTGTATGTGTAACGTTGGTCATTCCTCGGCACTCGTGATCTCAAGCCACCTTCGTCACCTGTCGGCTCATCCTAACTTAACAGCTCTTTATTGTCACGAAACCTTCTGTCAGAAATGTGGTGAGCTGGCGTGGGGTGTTTAAGTAGTGACACTTCGTATGAGTTGTGCGGGGTAACTGACCTTGTCATTGTGCAGGTTTCTTAGGTATGGTGAGATTGTAGGAAATGAAGAAAAGACATTAGGAGAACTTCATTCTTGCTTTCAAGTGCAGAAAAGAATGGTTTTATTCTACATATAGTAATATACATTTCATTGAAATTTGGTTTCCTACAGTTGCGGAACTGGGTGCCCGTTCCTTTACTTGCCAGAGAAGGCAAATGGTTGTGGAATGGATGCTATAAAAGAGCCAGATGACGATATCTGCAATCGTGTTGATAATAGTACCATAGCATGAACGGAAAGAAATTTTCCGGGAAGCAATGGGGAATGTTATGTTTCGGAGTTTTGAACAACTCAAATTAGTGTGATGGATGTTAAAAACCTCTGATCATTTAATCCAACAATTACTCCGATGAGCAGGTTGAAAGAATGCGGTGAATTCTGAACATTTCTTCATTTTACGCGTATCTAAGTTTTCACATTGTGTGTATAGGCGAATGTCAATTTGTTTGTTCTATTTTACTCGTATTCTTGATTTCTGCTAAATGGTAAAACTATTTCATTGAAAAATGCACAGGAAAAGGAACGAGAACAGACATTGTCATTACTTAACAATGAAATTGACAACTATGTTATACATATTTGTGATTAGTTAGTTGTGCGCAAGTACAATAAAAAAAGTTTTTATTGTATCCTATGCTATACAACCACAACCCACATGCGAATTTTAATTGCATTTAAAGTTTGTTTCAACTCTAACTTCAGCTTAGAGAGAAGGTAATGCTATGGTTGTTAATATCGCTACCTTCACTAGATTTTTTTACAATGTTTTTAAAGATGTCTTTGTAAATTAGAGAAAATGTTTCATTTGGTTATTAATCTCTTAAATTAAAAATTTGCAGGATCAATAGAATTGTCCTATCAAATAGAAAAAAGAAAAGTAAAGTGATTATCTTCTTTGAAATTTTAAAATCTATAAGGAGTACTCAATATTCTTACTTACACAATTCTTTAGAATATGTAAAATATTGTAATGTGAATTTGATCACAACTGAGATATTTAAAGGATAAAAAGCTAATATACTTGACATATATATTTATTTAATAAATTTGTCTATTTTAGCTTTTCCATCAAAAAATTTAAAATCATATCTTTATTAGAACTACATGTTACAAATAGATACTTGTTTCTATTTTTATTTGTTTATAAAAGTCACTATGGAGTGCCAAAGAAGTTGCATGATAATAACATTAACATCAATGCTTTATCTTTTATATGCATACTTTTTATTAGTAGAGTATATGTTATTACATAAAAAATAAAAATAAATAAATAAATAAAAATAATAAATTATAAATGAGTAATACTATGACAAAAGAGTTTTTGACCTAGCAATACTACACAAAGAACAATTGTTTGATGATAGAAAGAAATTATATAATTATTGTAATAGTTGTGAACAATACTACACAAAGAACAATTCTTTGATGATAGAAAGAAATTATATAATTATTGTAATAGTTGTGAACAAGCTTACAAATAGGTTTAGAGAGAATAGAGTCTTGTTTTGTAACTAAAGCTTGTAGATAAAAGTGCAGAGTTGGTATAATGTTAATTTTACATATGCATAAAAAATGTAAAATTAATAATGCATGAATATTGATAAAATTTGGCTTTAGCATTGATAAAGACCAAGACATATTATAAATGGTAATAATTGATGATTTAAGTTGAATATGAATAGTTATATTTTTATTATAATTTTATATAAGCATATGTACTTTCTTAAGTAATGATAGAGATATACATCATGAAATATATTCTTACTTTTTATTTTTATTTCAATAAGTCACTGTAAGATGTTGAAGTTGTAAAATGACAACATTAATTTTAAAGCTGAATTTATATATATTTATAATTTATGATTCTTTTATTTTATTTTACTAATATATCGGTGTGTATCTATAGTAAATTTTGTAAAATAAATGTGATAATAAACTAAAGTTATAAAATACAGTTCTAATAATATAGGTTTTATGTTAGATGGAGAAATTATATTTGTTTTGCAACTAGTACTCTTCTTTAAATGGTATACCATTGTATGATTGACTTATAATATGAACTTCAAGCAAATGTATCTAAAAGCAATAAATATTATATAATATTCTTTAAAAAGCTAATTTAGGTACACTATTGATCCATTTATTTGTAAGTTGTGACAATCATGCCATTTATCTTATTCAAGTATATTTAAAAATTGGCTATCATCATATAAATTGGCTTCTGTAGAAGTAACAAGCATTTTATTTATTTATTTAGTGATTAGATTTAATATTCAAAGCTCAGCACTTAAAATAAAATATGCCACATGGAAGAATGCTTAGAAACTAGATGGTGCAGAAATTGGAAAAGTTGTAGCAATGTTGTAAACTTAAAACGAATTAGATTAATATACAACTTGTCTCATTGCAAACAATAGCCCATACTTGAATTGAGATCTTGAATTGGACCTTGAATTTCTTTTCTTTTTTTTATTTGATTTTTATGAATGTGTTTATGTTTAATTTAGTTAGTAGAGGATTTTGTTTACAATGCGGGTTATTTCTTTTACTCTATTTGTATAAATTTGGATTTTTATAAATATATTTTTTGAAGAGGTCATGATAAGAAGTGTGATATTGTGTTGTAACATAGTACTTTGTAAAAATATTAATAAATCTCTAAGATTTATTAATATATTCTAATAAATCTCTAAGAGAATATATATATATATATATATAGCTAACACATCAAGTTTAATTAGTATGTTTATATTTCAAGGTGCAGTTTGCATAAAAAAGGCTTTTGTTGCATTTGTAGGGCCATGAATTTAGACAAGGTGGTGTGGAATAAGTAAAAACCCAATATGATTATTTTTGGTGCAAATTCAATTTAAATTCAAGTAAAATTAATCATAAAAATGATAAAGTTGGTATTTAAGAAAAGATTGTCTATAAAACAAGATTAAAATCTAATCTTCATGCACAAAAACAACTATAGACAAATAAAAGTTCTTTTTGGAAATTGTGAAGTATTTTTAGGAAGCTGACTTTAAAAAGATTTTAAAAGTGTAAGGCTTAGAAGAGTTATATCTTAATTAGGATCTTTAAAAGGACAATAAAATTCAAGTTTTTTTTTTTTTTTTTTTTTTTTTTGCACTAATAATTTGAGGATAATAAAGATATAATATTAAGTTTAGTATTATTTGAGTAGAATATTGAATCAACCGACCTAAATCTTAAATTGATCCATCTTACTTCCATTACAACACAATGAAGGGCTAATAGGGGATGGGAAAAAAGAAGGAGCAATATATGATATTAAATAAGGATGTGCCTCCACAATGTGTGTGTTGGAATTGGATACTCAAGAGTGCTTCATAATCAAAGCAAGTACAAAACCATGGAAAATAGACCTCAAATCTCTTTCCCTTAAAAAAGGATCTATGGTTTATCTCTATTGTTGTAGTGACTGAGATTGAATCATAAATCATGGAAGTAAGGTGGATTGATGTATTTAGGTGGTTTGGTTTAATATTCTTCTTATTATAATTGTAGAATAGAGATATATTTTACCTTGTGAAGGAGTTACCAAAAATTAGAAATTAGAAATTTATTAAGATTTTCATAATATCTAAAGACATATAATTTTGGATGAAGTTATATTATTGAGTATAAATAGAACACATCTAAAAGAAGTTCTATACAAAGTTTAAACAAATATTTATAATTGAATTAGGAGATACATTTATTAGAAGTCTTCATCAAACTTAGAGTAGAAGGCTAAGCTCTAATAATAAGGATTCTATTGCAAATGTCATGAATATTTAGTTTGGATTTGTCTCAAATTCTATGACTGCAAAGTAAATAAAACAAATGGCAATAGTATACATTTTTTTAAAAATGATCTAATGATCAAATTAAAAATTATATCTTGTTATATACAATTAATTGATTGATTTAAACTTTGCTAGGAAAGTTGAGATAATTGAAGAAGAGTGGTTTTAAGCACTTCATAGTTGGAATTATAATATTTTTATAGAGCCATATAAAAATATTCTCTCCAGAGCTAGATACCCAATGTATTCTCAAACAAAACTTTATGTAACCTCAAAATAGTAAAGTTAGTATTAATTTATAACCAAAGTACAAGGGTGCGATGGTGATGATGGCAACATTGCATGACTGCTATTTTGGACTTGGTGTGGGAAGACCATGAAAGAAAGAGCATTTGAAGACAAGAAAAGTGCACAGCATTGTCCAACACAAGTACAGCTACATCAAGCAAACACAAAAATTGTTGTAGAAAGAGCCGCAAAACACACATTCAACCTGCATTTTCTACCCCTCTTTTACAGCTAAATGGAATGTGCACATCCAGAGCCAATCAATAGTGCTGGGTCACTTCCACTATCTGGTTAACATTTCTCACACTAGGGTACCACCATGTTTGATGGCTCCACCCCTACACCCCACCATCCTTCTCTGTGGGACCATATTCCTCTGTTCTGTCTTCCACCCTATCTCTTCCCATATTTTTAGCTCTTGATGCCCACATGCCTTTGCTCTTGTTGTTGTTGTTGTTCTACTACTACTTATACCCATCCGTGTCTTATTTCCTGGCAACTCCTGCTTCCAAAGGCTGTCCATGCTCCATGATTTCATCAGTGAGTTCCTCGCACGGATTATGTCACTTCTGTCTGTGCACTGCTGTGACCAGGTCACCAGAAAACAGGGGATTTATTAGGTCTTTGATATTGCGCCTTGTGTCGTGCTCCGTCGCGCTGGGTCTCATGTGCCCTCTTTGCACCCTGGATTTGGGTACCCGCAGTCTACACCAGCCTTGTCGAATTAGGCTCCCTTTGCCCGCGAAATGGTTTTCTGGTGTGCTCGATTTTCCAAACCCTCTCTTTTACACAAATAAAACAAATAAAGATATTGGGCACTCCCCGCTCTGCTCTTGTGGATTGCTTGCCCCTGTTTACCGTAGAGGGCCCTTCCCACCCATCCCGTGTGCGAGGAGCGTTTTAGGTTTCAGATTTGTCCAAGCTAAATCAACTGTCGCGTTTGTTGAATCCTCATCCCAGGTTCGCGGTTACTTAACTACGTCTGTTCACCTTGCTTTTGGCAGCGCAATGTTGATAATTTGGCGTGGAACCCACTTTAAAGGTTTAGAGACTCTGACGTAATTTTCAACCATTTCTGTACTGCCTCCTCAGTAGGAAGTTCACGAAAGGAAACTTGCTCTTTTGCTTCCTTGTCGATCAATTTTCTAGCTGTCTAGTCTCTTGAATTATTGTTAAGCCGTTTATTTTCGTCTCACATTTCAGGGCACCTTGTGTCCGGTTTTTACTTGAGTGGCAAATTCTCAGATTTGTTTTTCCTTGCACCGAGGGGTTGAATCCTTTGGTGCCGTGAAATAATTGCTCGTTTGTTGCTCCATTTCTCTGGCTTTCGGTGCCAAATTCGAAGAGTTGACCCTGTCAATAATGCACGCATTCGCTGCCCACCTGCAATTCGCATGTACTCTTGCACGAGAATGATGGTTGAGAGTTGATGGCTTTTTATTTAGGGTGGCAATCGAGCGTAGTTACTTGCAATCCAGGGTCTTTCATTTCGTGATTCGCGTTATTTACTGATATCTTTCTTACGAGGGTTACCTGCTGGATGATTTGAGTGCAGTGTGGACTGGCACTAGGTATGTTGGTGGAGAGCGGGGAAGGTGGTGCTGGATGTTTGAATAGCTCAGGATGCAGCATGAGTAACTGGAAATACAGGATCAGGGTTGTACCAAGCACCGGGCTATGCTGGCAGCCGTAGTGGAATTTGCAGGGATACAAAAAAAAGTTATCATGTTCAGAGGTAGAGTAGGAAGCGGCGTAGGTAGATGGAGTGGCGAACCACGTAGTACATGACCAGGGTATCCAATCGGGAGTAGATGCAAAGGGGACTGTTTGGGAACTACGAAGGGGGTTAGAAATGCAGACACAAATGCAGGTTCCAGGACAAGTTATAAGTCAGGTAGCACTCGGACCTCAGCAGAATGGAAATGCTCCCAACAGCATTGGACTGCCGAGCACATGGCCGCGGTGGCAATCGGAGCAAGACACTAGTCTCCGCCGCCATATTGTTGAGAACATGTGAGTGCTTTGCATACTTTACTTTCGAAGCATTTTTTTCATCGTCAGCCTGTGGAGTTACTTGACTATGCTACGCAAACAATAGTGGTTGGTTAAGGCAAACGTAGTCGTTTGACCTTGTGTGACAATGACCGTGGGTGATCTTTAGCGAGGTAAACAGTGTTCACTTCCGAGGAACAATGTCACGGTACGCATTTTTCGAGCGTTAGCATCAGTTGGAGGTCGGTGCGATATAATACTGCACAAGTTGAGTTAGTATTTTGGCACTCAATAGCGTTTTAGTAGAGATACAAGCTTCCGAAAGGTGCGGGTGATATTCACAAGGCCCAGATTTGATGTGGTATAAGAAAGGCCAGCAGAGTTCGTTCCAGCTTCTGTAAATCGATATACGATGATTGTTGGTATGAAAAGTGGAGATGAACATATCTACTTACTCAGACGATTGTGGTTTCAGAGCAGGGGCCCGAATACAGACCGTTTTGTAGAGCTGCAGGTGGTTGGAATTTGATGATGTTGATTGTTCAGAGATTGGGGCATCTTCACAAGGCAATGAGGAATCTCGCGTTGATTTTATTCGAGTCCTATTCCGTGTTGGGTTTGAGTTCGTGATAATCAGAATTGTCACTAAGTCATGGCACTGTGAAACAATGAAAGAATCTCGGAGTAGAAAATGGGGTGTTGAATTGTGTCTCATATTTTGTTACAAAACTGTGAATGTAGTAGCATTCTTAAAACGGAAATTTGGTTTCTCACACACTCTATGTTAGATTAAATACCCTGGGATGTGACGTAGAATTTACACTAAGTTTGAGGGTTGCACAGTGGGAAGTTGATCTGATTTTATTGGAGGTTCGGTGGTTTTGTCTAGATGCATAATAGCTTAATGCAATCTGGATGGTTGCGATGGGTTTGAGCAAGCTAGGGGCTGTTTCGTTGCTTCTTCAAATGATTGGTTGCACTTTGAAAGGTCACATGCATGAGTCAATGCGTGGTCAAGCCTCTGAAGTCATCTTCTTATGCACACTTTTGAAAAACGCTTATCTGGTACTTCTTGTGCACATCCGACAGACTGCAGTTATTCAAGAGTCGGAAGCCACATGTAACTCCTGAGTGGCAACAAAAGCTTCCTGATTTTGTGAAGCGGCTGGAGGAAGCTTTATACAAGAATGCACCCAGCAAGGTGTGTGCGTTTAGTGGGACAATTTGACTACAAGCTGATGTTGCCTAGGCGTTTGTTTACTTAGAACAGTTAAAATTGGTCTCAGAATGCAATTGATTGACGAGAAGCTTGAATTTCGCGTAATATCGAAGAAATGTTCTTAATTTCCATGGTGCCGGTTTAACAAGTTCAGAAGTTGAGGTTTAGAATTTGCTGATATTGGAAGAGTTTGTGTGTGTGCGTGTGTGGTTTGTTGGAGTAGAAATAAGTGTATTTTGATGGTTGAAATTCTACTGGTCACACGCAGGAGGAATATGCAGATCTTAAAACATTGGAGCAACGGCTGCAGTCAGTTGCACGGCGCATGGTGCCAAAGCAACAACCACATTCGGTGGTCACTTCTGCTCCTATGAGTGTCATGATGCCAACTCCTGGAACGGCATCTAACATGATGCCGACTTCTGGCGGCGTCAGCCCAATGATGCCAACACCCGGGAGCACAGGAAGCTTAATACAGCCAGGAGCTGGCGTTGGAGGAGGCTTAAATAATGTGAAGTCTACCTCAGGTAGTAACAACAGTGTAATGAATATTGTGAGTCATGGTGCCGGAATTATGATGCCCACGCCGGGGACCTCGAGCAACATGATGCCCATCCCTGGACATTCGAACATGTTCAGTATGTCTGGCAGCAACACATTGTCCACTTCTGGAGTTTCTGGTGCTAGTTATCCTTTGGATTCTCAGCAGGCCATGGGTAACGCACGAAACCTGGCTCAAAATGGACCTTTACAATCCAGCTTGGGTATAGCAGTTGGCAGCCAGATGATTCCAACGCCAGGACTCAACACATCTCAGGGACTGGGAATGGCTCCTGTATCCTCAGCTGGCTTAGGGCTTCCACATGTTAGTGGAGTTGGGACAGGTCAACTACAGCATCAGCAGTTTGGGGTTGGTCCAGATAACCACATGTATGATGGCACGCAACTGAGTGGAGGTCTGGCAAATGTTGTACAGCAGCAGCGGAAACCTGGTTCCTCAGTAGGAGTGGTGAATGGAGGTACAAATGACGGAATGATTATCGGCAACGGGCAGCACTTAATGAGTGGAACTGCTAACTTGCACACGCAGTCTGCTTATTTAGGCACGCCTCAGTACTCTAGCTTGCAACTCCAGCAGCATCAGCAACGTATGTCCCAGCAGCAGCAACATCAACGGTCTCAAAATATGCTAATTCAATGTATGCCCATCAATATTTTGTCAATTTTCTACATATTCCATTCTCCCTCTTTTCTGATGCATGACAGTAGATGTTTGTGTTGTCATCCTTCGAGTCTAAGGGTGTTGCAAGAAACCAATGTCCTCATGTATTAAACCTATCAAGACGGTCGTGTGTAGCATTCCCTTTTGCATGGACCGCCATTTGATATGCTGACGCAACTGTCTTGATATCACGCAGCTCCTTTGCCAAATCCAATGGCACTAATGGCAGGGGATGGTTCTTATGCAATGAACGCAGCTGACCTAGCTGGCGGCAGTTTTCCATCCGGAAATCTTGCTTCCAACAACTTGGGTATCCCGTCAATTGCGAACTCACAAGCCCCAAAAATGATACCCGTCCCAGGCTTACCATCACAGCAAGCTCAGCAGCAACAGCAGCAGCAGCAATCCAATCTTCAGCAGCAGATTCAGCAGCGCAACAATTTGCAGCAGCAGCAGCTAAACAATGGCTTGGCATCTAGGAATCAGCCGCAGCAGCTTGGTCAGCCATCGAACAATCAGAGTTTATACAATTCCCAGGGTCTGCAGACATCAGCGCTGGGCGGCCATAAACAGCTCGATCAGTCTCCACAACAACCGCTATCATCGCAGATGCAGCAGACATCATCAGAGTCGCAACAATTCACACGCAAGCATCAGAACCTTCAGTCCCAGGTTGGCAGCTAGTTGTTGTAGTCGCTGCAGTCGGCTGATATTTTCTACGGCTTTTTAGTTGTGAAGACCTGCGTTTGTTCCTCGTTTTGGTCCAATGTATTTCTACACAGAGAGAGAGAGATGTGTTTTATATTTTTACATTTTCTGTTCTTTAATTCATACGACCACTCCTGCAGAAGATGAATACTATTCAGTCGCAGCCGCAGTCACAGCCACAACCGCAACCACATCAGCTGCCGCAGCAGCAGACCCAGCAGCATCAGCAACAACAGGTAAGTGAGAAAGAAATTTTGGCTTCTCAGGGTGTCTGAACGGAATAGATTTAAATCGGATCTCTCGATTTTGAGGCGGGCTTTCTGACGCGAAGCGTTGCATCATACATTCAAGAATGTGTTATTTTGATGGGTGCCACTCACAGTGTGCAAGTGAACGGTAGAATTTATTGTCTACTCATTGAGTAACTTGGCTCAGGGTGCATTCAAGAATACAATATTATAACACACTAAGAGTAGCTATAAATACTTACATACAGAATTTATTGAAGTTTGAGAGTAAAAGTTTTCTTGGTATATATATATATATATATATATATATATATATATATATATATATATATATATATACATATAATGTGTGTGTATGAGTACATACATACATATATATATATTTCAATATGTTTAGCTTGCTAACATTATGGTGATGTCGATTGTACTGCTTAAGTTCACCTAATTGATTTTGGGACCCAGCCAGTTCAACGTCTCGGGTGCAAATGTTAAGATTTTAACTTCAAAAGCAAACAGTAAAAACCTTCATTCTTAAAATGGTGTATCAAAATTTTGATATGTAAATTTGTGTGATGTTTTGTTAGTAATTAAGTGTTATTTGTATGACAGGTTATTTTTATTATGTTGAGGAAGTTTTGTGAGAAGTGTCAAAATAATACTCCAAATGAAAATAATGTCTTCTTTAATTTATATTAAAATCGCTATATTTCTTTGTGAATTTCTTTAATGTCATGCACTTTTAGTTTCAACTAGTTTTTCTTAGATATGACGATGGGTACTCATATATGCTCTTAAAGCCACTTTCTTTGGATAATTTAATCTGGCAGTGACGATGTTATATTTTCATTCGTAGTATCATGTGTATGCAGATAGGAGAGACTTGCATATGTTGTGGGTTTCGAACGCTGCAGTTAAACTTAAAGAGTGGTTGTTGATTCCACAACGTATAAACTATACTTGAGTAGTGTAATTGTTTAGGTAGGTTCGAAAGTATTACGTTTAAGAGGAAAAAATTATTTACTACAGGACCATATTAAGAGGTTACTGTACTGCTTTCTAAGTCATGGCTGATGTTTACCAGGGTACACAAGCACAGAGGCAACAGGCAATACAACAGCATCTTAATCGTCTTCCTAAATCTGGTCCACAGCTTCTCACAATGGTGCAGCAGCAGAAGCAAGGGCATGGACAGCAACCCCAACAGGGTGCAAAACCACAACATCAGCATCCTCAGCAGCAATCTCAGCAGCCACAACCGCAGCAACCTCGAGTTGCCGGTGCTACTCAAGTGTCTGCAGAGTCTCAATTTGTGCAGCAACAAGAAGCACAACAGCGGCACCTGAATCAAGCAAGTCAGCAAAGCATTGTTGGTGATGGAGCTCCGCATCATCGATCACTTGTTCCTAGTCAACAACAACAAAGCCAGGGATCTCAAGTTCGCCAGGTTGGAGGAACGGTTGGCTCTAGTATTTCGACTTCCTCCATGACCACCCCTGGCCAAGTTGGTGGTACAGCTAACGGAGCCGTGCCAGGTGGTTCAGTTGAACCAGGTGGCCCGAGCGTGGATGCTCAGAGGCAGCAACAATACTCAAAGCAGCAGAGATGGTTGCTGTTTTTACGTCATGCTAGTAAGTGTACAGCTTCGGAAGGGCAGTGTCAGATCACACCTCACTGTCATATGGCAAAGCAGCTCTGGATTCACATAGCATCATGCCAAGATCGTGAATGCACATTCAGCAGATGTAATGCATCTCGCACCTTGCTTCACCATCACCAGCATTGTCGTGATGCCCGGTGTCCAGTTTGTGGACCTGTACGCCAGCAAGTTATGAATCAACAACGAGTGCAAGCCAGTTCTCTAGCTGCACATCAGGGAGGAGCAGCAGCACCTGTGTCCAACTCTGCCACTGCAGGCATGTCATCAACTGATTTGTCTCCCAGTGGGATAGAATCATGTCCTACTAGCGAGGCTCCAACTTTTGAGGATATAGATGGGCAGCAGCCACCTCCGAAGCGTGCTAAAACCGAACCGTCCAGTGTTAACAATGTACCTCTGCCAGTATCTACTACTCTGCTCTCTGGACCCAGTAAGTCAGCAGCTGCCAAAGCAAGTTCTGTACTATTATCAGCACCCTCCCAAGCTGTGGGGGAAAAATCTGAGCAAGTTACGGTGAAGACAGAGATTGTGGCCAGCTCGGGACCTGTATCAGCCAAGGCGGAGGAGCAGTTAAATGGGCACCAGACTGGTGTACTCTTGCCTAGTGGCCTTACAAGTGCTAAACTAGAGGCTCCTATTCAGGCAAAGACAGAACCTCGTCAGCCAGTGTCGAATGCGGCAGTCAAGTCTGAGCCTCACAATGGCAGTGCTTCCACTCCTGCGAAGGGTGAACCTGGTGTAGGTGCCGCGCTAATGAATAATGCAACAGTTATTTCAACGAAGACCGGAAAACCCAAGAATTTGGGGACATCGCTGACAGAACTCTTCACACCTGAGCAGATACGTGAGCACATTACAGGCTTGCGCCAATGGGTTGGCCAGGTTTAGTTCTAATTCCACTTCTCTCTTGAAGCTCCTTTTCTTAGCACACTTCAAATGGAGCGTTAAGTTTCCAGTGTTTTGAAGGTTTTGACTCTCTTGTGCTTTCAGAGCAGTACTAAGTTTGTGATTTGGGTACAAACAGAGCAAGGCCAAGGCTGAGAAGAATCAGGCCCTCAGTGAGAATCAAATAAGTGAGAATGCATGCCAACTATGTGCTGTGGAGAAGCTAACATTCGAACCTCCTCCAATCTACTGCACTGCGTGTGGGGTCCGTATAAAAAGGAATGCTTTGTATTACACCTTTGGCTCAGGCGACGCGAGACACTACTTTTGTGTGCCCTGCTACAATGAAGTGCGATCTGAAAATGTGGAAATGGAAGGCATGACTTATCCAAAATCAAAATTGGAGAAGCGGAAGAATGACGAAGAAACCGAGGAGGCGGTATGCTCCTTGAACTCGTACGAGTTTGGGACTTTCATCATCTTAGATTATATGTTTTGGTTACAGTTTTGTAATAGTTGGAAACCTGAAAAGCTGAGAATGGCTGCTGATTTTGTCCTTCTCATCAAGAATGTTCATGCATTACCCCATCTTGTGGTAAACGATTTTCTGATGGTTGTCGCAGTGGGTACAATGCGATAAGTGCAACTTGTGGCAGCATCAAGTTTGTGCCCTATTCAACGGTCGCCGAAATGAAGGAGATAGTGAATATATTTGTCCAGAGTGTTGCTGCGTAGAAATGGAAAGGGGTGAACGTAAACCGCTGCCTCCTTCTGCAGTCTTGGGCGCCAAAGATTTGCCCAAAACCTTCCTAAGTGATCATTTGGAGCAACGTTTAGCGCGCAAACTTAAACAGGAGCGTGCTGAACGGGCAAAAGCTCAAGGGAAAAATATCGATGAGGTACTTGCATGTGCTTTTCCAGTTACTGTAGTTATTCTATAATTTTTTGTTTCAAGTTTTGTAATCGAATTCTTAAGTTTTATTCAACCTTATTCATGACTATGAAAAAATAAAAAATAAAAAAACAATGCTGCCTCTCTGACAGCGCTCTTTTGTATGCTTTAATTCTAACAAGTCATATGACACTATGAATGTAGGTTGCCAGTGCAGAGGCTTTGGTGGTTAGAGTTGTATCCTCCGTGGACAAGAAGCTGGAAGTGAAGCAACGGTTCTTGGAAGTTTTTCAAGGAGATTATCCAACTGAGTATCCGTATAAGTCAAAGGTGCGATATGTTTCTGGTTTAGCAAGGCCTACGTGGTTATTTGATTTTTTGTAAATGTAGAGTTGCGAATTGATATGGTTTTGAAATATCTATGTTAATGTCCACGGGCTGATGTGGTTGATGTTAGTGCTATTCAGGTTGTTTTGCTGTTTCAAAAGATAGAGGGGGTAGAAGTTTGTCTCTTCGGCATGTACGTTCAAGAGTTTGGGGTTGAATGCTCTCTTCCAAATCAGCGAAGGGTGTACCTGTCATATCTGGACTCTGTGAAATATTTTCGCCCAGATGTCAGGACTGTTAATGGAGAGGCTTTGCGGACTTTTGTTTACCATGAAATTTTGGTGAGTATTCTTCATGTATACCAAAGGTCTTGTGTGATGTCACGCATCCATGACATTGTTCGAGGGGGGATTCAGTTCATTGTATCAAGCGTCAAATGTTCTTTTCCTTAAATTGAACACAAAGTATAGCATTCAAGATCTAACAAGGTTGAAAGACTATGGAAGATCTTAAATGAATAGTTGAGAGGTTTTAAAATGGATTAGGATTTTGAATGTATGACGTAAAGCTTCGTGTCTGAAAGCCCACCTCAAATTTTTTTTCTTTACTTAAAATGTAGTGCTGCTGTTTCTGTTGTTACGTTGTTTGTACTGGCAGACCAGTTGAACTTGTTGGCGTATGATCTGTTGCAGATCGGCTATCTAGATTACTGTCGGAGGAGAGGTTTTAGTAGCTGTTACATTTGGGCTTGCCCACCTCTAAAGGGAGAGGATTATATTTTATATTGTCATCCGGAAATTCAAAAAACGCCCAAGTCTGACAAGCTTCGAGATTGGTACTTGGCGATGCTGCGGAAAGCAAGCACCGATGGGATTGTTGTTGAAATCACAAATCTATATGACTACTTTTTTACCTCAACTGGCGAGTGCAAAGCGAAGGTACTCTTCACCTCTATGTGCTAATGTAATGTATGTAGACAATGTGCAGTTACCGGCAATGTATTATAGTAATTATTCGTTGCTTTTGTGGTTGTACAATGTTTCTCATGCCTCCTTGATAATCTTGAGGGCTGTTCACAACATGGGGTTGCGTGATCTATCAGGTGACAGCAGCTCGTTTGCCATACTTTGATGGTGACTACTGGCCAGGCGCAGCTGAGGACATGATAGTACAATTGCAGCAGGAAGAGGAGGATGTTCGCAACAACGTCTTGAAGAAAGGCAAGACTAAAAAACAGCCCACCAAACGTTCTTCTAAAGTAATAGTCCAAACTGAGCTGCCTGGCAATGCCAGCAAAGACACCCAGCTCATGCAAAAGGTATGTTTTGATGTCTTACATCTTTGGTCTTGCTACATCGAGTTTCTGTAGCTTTTTGTAGTTCTCAAATCAGCCTGAAACATTCAATTGGTGTTTCTATACAGTTGGGAGAATCTATCTTTCCGATGAAGGAGGACTTCATAATGGTGCATATGCATCATGCATGCTCCCACTGCCGTCTCTTTATTGTTTGTGGTCGCCGCTGGGTTTGTAAACAATGTAAAAGCTTTCAGCTTTGTGACAAGTATGTTTCTTACCATCTCTATGATGCTCATTTGACTCCAATGTGAATGACTTTGAATGGAAAATTTTCTTTGCAGTGTACCTTTATCTACATTGCGCATGTGGAAACGTTGTTTGAGCTCACCTAATTTGTTGATGCATCGTTCCTGTTGTGTCGATTAATTAAACTTGTTTTTGTAATTTCCTCGGTAAAACCCTTGATTATACGTTTGCGGTATGTGTGCAACTTCCAGATGCTATGATGCAGAACAAAAGCTTGATGAGAGGGACAGACATCCTATCAACATGAAAGAATTACATTCTTTCCAGTCGGTAAGCTATTTCTATGTGCCAATCAGATGATGTCTTGGTTCTTGCATACGGAACATGATTTCAGAGACTCAGTGGTGGTTGGATGGTTAACTGTAGGTACCCTTTGAAATTATTTTGAGTGTGAGCAGATTCTGTCAGTTCATCTGTTCAAGACAAGTAACACTTCCTTCAAATTGGCTCATTGAGTATCATAATCCATTCTGGGATGGTCTTTCTGTCAGGTTGAAATACACGACGTTCCAAGTGACACGAAGGATAAAGATGAATTTATGGAAAGCGAGTTCTTTGACACTCGACAAGCGTTCCTGAGTTTGTGCCAAGGGAACCACTATCAATATGACACATTGCGACGTGCAAAACATTCGTCCATGATGGTGCTTTACCATTTGCACAACCCAACAGCTCCTGCATTTGTGGTAAGCTGTAATATATGTCATCAAGATATTGAGGCGGGCAATGGTTGGCGGTGTGAAACTTGTGCGGACTTTGACCTTTGTAATAAGTGCAAAGACTCAGCGAAGCACCCACACAAACTTACTCCGTTTCACGATCGAAATGCCCAAAACAAGGAAGCTCGTCAACAGCGGGTTCTTCAGGTGTCCTTTCAATACCACTATACTATTTTAAAAGGCTCGCTGCTGTTTTTATGTCATCTTATCAAAATCATCGGTGCGGCAAGTATGCAGCCGTCCCGTTTTACAGCACAAATACTATGAAATTTCTTGTTCATACGAGTGTTTGTGATAACGCCATTGTGGGTTTTGGCTGCTTGGACCAGTTGCGGAAAATGCTCGAGTTACTCGTACACGCATCACAGTGCGGATTAGGATCCTGCCAATACCCCAAATGTCGGAGTGTGAAAGGCCTTTTTCGGCATGGCATGAACTGCAGGATCAGAGCCTCTGGAGGCTGTAACATGTGCAAAAGAATGTGGTACCTTCTACAGCTTCATGCAAGAGCTTGCAAGGAATCCGAGTGCAGGGTCCCTCGTTGCAAGTATGACGCTGCCCCTGTTCACTTTTGAACATTTCTTAGGCTTGGAGTGCTGTTCAAGCACGATGCCGGACAGATTATGTGACACGTATTCTATATATCGACAGGAGCGTTTGCTAAGACTTAAAATTCTCGAGGACTTTCCTTATGCTGTGAACTGCAGTTGAGTGTTTTTTCATGTATTGCGGTTGACTTATTGGGTCTTGGTTTGATCAGGGATTTAAAGGAGCATTTGCGGCGTCTACAGCAACAGATGGAGTCACGGCGAAGAGTTGCGGTTATGGAAATGATGCGCCAAAGGGCAGCTGAAGCTGCAGGCACCAACAGCTAGAACCCCGCACTTACTATCAAACTCGTGTTTATACTTTAGGAGATTGAATTTTTGCGAAAGTTCTAACGGACTGTTGCTCTTCGCTTCAAGGACAGCTAAGATCGCCATGACCCATCCCAGATTGTCGTAGGGGTGTGTTTGCGTTGGTCACCCAGGGTCATGTTTGGATGGATAAAACGTTGAGTGAAAACTGGGGAGCATATTTCCTTATGCCTGCAGGAAGGATAACCTTCTGAATGGCCATTCTTGTGTACGGCCTCGAAGCGCGTGCCAAGGAATTCTAGGGTGCTCAAGCCTCAACACATAGACACATCAAACAGCACTATTTGCTGTGCAGTTTGATGTGCTCATGGTTTATCTGCCAACTTTGGTTGTAGAAGAGTTAAAATCTAAATTCAAATCAATTTGAAACCTTGAGTGATAGTGGGCAGCAGTCAAGGACCAACAAGGGTTGCGGTACTTAGACGGGTGTGGCCCCATTGAATGGTGAGATGCCAACAGTTGCGAGTATGCAGTGTCGTGTTTGAGCTCCAACTGACAGATGTTCCCATTGACAGGGGAATTAGTCCAGAAGCTCCTAGTGACTTGATACTTCGAATTTGTACAGTAGCTCTCAACATAGTTATGATTTGTCTTTTACGCATTGTTGTGATGTCCAATTTTGCAAATTGCATTTAGTTCAATTTTGTGGTCTTCCACCGCTTGTGAAGAGACCTGTCGATAGGAGAGTTTAAAATAGGGAAGAGGGAGTTAAAACAATGCATTGTGCCAAGTTTAGAAAAGGCAATTTTTGATTTGGAAGAGATGAGTTTAAAGTTCTGCTCCATTTTTTCAACTTGGATGTATATTCTGTTTTTGATATCACCTGAAAGTTTATCATAGCTTTCTGAATAGTTTTTACAATGACTTGGGGTGGCATATGTACCTGTGTTCTTTTTGTAAGCTCTAAAATCATTTTGTATTGTGCAATATTTACTGTCCTTTCCTTTAAAATCAGTTTAATTTCAAGTGAACGAAATGGTTGAAATGAGATTTTAAGGCTTTTACTGAAACCAGAAGACACAAAATATGGTTATTCAGGATGTATAATTTTTATGTACTAGGCCCACAGAAGAAGAATATGTGTGACGTTCTAAGAATTTTAGTCTAATGCAAATTCCAAAATAATTGGACATGTGACATGAATAGCACTGTATAAAGTACAGGTGACGATTTTTTTTTAAAGATGGTGTGGAATGATAAGTTTTGCCATAGTAAACATATATGTTTCATAAAAAAAAAGGTAATACTTTGAAGCAGTTCATAATATCAAGTTTATAATTACCAAGTTTTTGTTTGTTTTGAATTAGATTGAGTGTTTTCATTTTTACAGTTTATTTCTTTTCTTACTTGTAGATATTTTTGTGTGGTTTGTAATTTTATTTATAGAAAGACATCCACAACAATAAACATGAAATAAACATGAAATGGTGTTATTTATGTTTACTGTGGTGAATACAGAAATCTCATGTATTAGCCAAAATAATTTTAATTCAAAAATTATGTCTAGACCCAATTAATTTTCAATTGATATGAACTAAAATTAATTCTGGTTGTTGTTTTATAAAAATATGTTATTGCAATATCTGTCATGAAATGTGATGAACTTTAAAAGCTTACAAATTTTATGTTTAAAAAAAAAAAAACAACTTTATGTTTACTTATGTATTTATTTAAATGTAATATATATATATATATATATATATATATATATTACATTTATATTAAATGTTTCAATATTTAAAATACAAATCTTAAAAAAAGAATTTACTGAAAAATTTATTATTCTAAATAAATTAATCAAGCATCTTAAAATTTTAGTTTTATGTAGATAGGTTTTTACTCTAACAAAATTATATATGTACCTAAGTTTTTCTTTTTTAAAAATTGCAGTATTTTTTTGTTACAAAGTTTCATGTTGTTATTCATATTATGGTTTATATTTAATAATAATTGTGTTTGTAAAATTATTGTTGATTATACATTATATAAAATATTGTTGTGAAATATTTATATAATAAACAATCAATAGCTATATAATTGGTTATTAAAATTCTATTTTGTATTAACAACTGAGGTGATTATATACCAACTTTCTTTTTGTGTTGGCAAAGATTACAAACTTGTATTAGACATCATTCGATCAAAGGTTTTAGTCATGTGATGTGGCATTGGGTGCCAAATCTTGTCAGATGTATGTGATTTAGTTTGGGTTTAGTGATTTTTCCATCCATTTAGCTTTTTCTATTAGTTGACTTTGTTATTATCAACTAGTATTTGAATACTTAGGTGGAAAAACCCTCTTTACTTGACATTCTTGTCAAGTCAAATCTTGTGAGTGATTTTGAGAGAAAAAGCTTGTGTTGTAAGGGTTTGCTTGGCTATGGAGATTTAACCACTTTGTAAAGCTTTAGGGTTTTTTTCTACTCACACTTGCACTCTCGGATTCCCTATTTGTGGTGTAAGAGATAGCTTGACTTATTTGTATATAGATTTATCATCTTTCTTTGAGAGTGTGTTTGTTGTGCATTTATTTTTGGTTTAGGTTACATACTTTGTGATTAGTTTGTAGCACTCAATGTGTTGTGTGTAACTATCTTTGTTTGCACAACACTAAATATCTTTGTATGTACTTATTCACTTTTGTTATTGTTTGTTGATGACTTTAATTGTTTAATGTAAATAATTTTTACTTAGGTAATAATTATTTTTAAAGTGCAAAGTAATATTTATGTATATGAATAATATTTTTTAAGAATCATATATCCAACTTAAATATTCATATATATGATGTAATTAGTTAGTTGTAGTTAAGCTTGAGTTTTGATTAATTTTTATCTTAAAATAATTGCAAGTTTTAATAATTAGTTTGTAAGTTGTATTTTTAAATATGACATCCATAATTCAGAATTTCTATTTAGTTATAGCAATATCAAAAGTCAAACTCTAAATAAATAAAAATTTCTATGTAATTGATATAAAGTTAAACTTTTTGATGAAATATACAAGCACCATTAAATTCATATAGAAGAAAAAATAGTCTTTGTTTTTGAATAAATATTATTAATACTTATAAATTATCTATTTTATATTATTTTTAATTTTAATTTTAATTTACGGTTGTATAATTCTATTCAAATTGGAATAGTAGTTCAAATGCATATAAAACTGATTGATATATCTTTTAGATAGGATTTTGGATCTACAAAATATTAATTGTAATATTAGATATGTTTTTATGGACATAAAATACTATGGTCAAATTAAAAATTATTATAATTACCAACAATGAATTAAAAATAGAAATATTTGTTTAAAAAAATTATTAATTCAATAAAATAGTATACTAATACAATGATGTTGATACAATATTATAGACATCATTTATTTTGTTAGATCTATGTTGATACAAGATCATAAAAATAAACACAAATAAATAAATAAATAAACACAATGGTTTTATAAAGATCTATACCAACATTTACAATTATGGAAATCTTGCCAAATTAAGCACTAGAGCTGCTAGGACTCTAAAAATTTGTTCAAAAAATATCTTATTTTTTTTTCACCAAATAAGTCAAATATAATGATATAAAGGTGCTACTTAATATCCTATTTGGAATTCTTACAAAGAAATTTGATTAGATGGTAGGCAAGCCCACCACACAACACCCATACACATTGAGTAGACAAAAATACAAGGAATTTCTATAATAACCTCGACTTGGATTAAAAATCTGTCTAAATAAGAATAAATTTATTATATATCACATGTTAATAGATGCCCTTAATCAAGCACATTTTACCCTCAAAAACTCAAACATAACTTGAGATTTTTTTCGTCGTTATTGTATTTATCAGATATAATGCAAAGATTTATAGAACCTTTTAAATAGTAAAATATCTGCCTTAAGGATTTCTAATTTTTTTTTTTTTTGTTGGATATGCAACATATTTGATGCATATACATATAACTTATAAGATATATAGTCTAATATACACCATTGTTTGCATGAGATTTCTTGTTGTACATACATATAGAATATTAGATATTTGTCATTTTTTCCCCTCAATACTTAGATATTTTATTGAAGATAATTCAAAAATAGATATTTGGCAAACATTTATTGGTTATTTTTTTCATACCAAAATATATCAATATTTTTTTTAATATATTTCTTTTATGATATTCAAAATCTATATTCCTTTCAATCTTTATAGATATCAATATCCAATCTTTTATAAGCAAATTTTATACATTTTACATCAAAAACTTCACTTTGGTGTATCTTTATTTTATCCATATTTATTTTTTCTCTTATACAACCAACATGAGATAAACATAAAATAAAATTATAACATAGTCATAAGATTTAGATTTTTATATTTTTTAAAATATAAACAATATTTGGAATTACTACAAGAATATCTTTGTTTCATTATAAAGGCATCAAATTACTAATACAAGATATATATATATTTTTAAATTTAGATAATGATTTTTTCCGCATCCATATAAGGTTTTCTTTTCTAAGTCTTAAAAATCTTCAATCTAACATACAAATAATTTCTTTTTAAAATTTTTATATAAAAAACTAACAGTAATATCTAATTTCTTTAATTCTAAATCCACTTTTGTAACTATTACTAATAATATATGGATATAATTAGTCTTAATTATAAAAAATTAAAAATAAAATAAAATTTATATTCTCTTATTACATATTTTTGCCACCAATTTAGCTCTGTAATTTAATTTTTTAGTTTTTTTTAAAATTATTTTTATATTTTTGTGTCTATTTATAATCAATTACTATATTTAAAAAACTATATCAATTATTATATTTAATTCTTCTATATAAATATATGGAAATAATTAATATCCATTAGATAATATTTTTTATTTACATAATAGTATTTGTCATAGTAGAGGCTGTTTTTAGGTTATGAACTTAAAATCTAATTTTTTGCATAATTAATAAAAATAAATTGGTAAAATTTTATAATTTAAGTAAAGAATATTTGGCAACCATGTATCTATTATGTATAACTAATACCTATATTCACTAGTACATTTACTTAGATAAGTAGAATTAAGTAGAAATAAATAGAAGTGAGTGGAATAGTTGATATCTTGATAGAAAGCTTTCTAGAAATTTTGAAGGATTTTTAAGTACTTATAAGTGATTACAAGGTTGACAACTTTGTTAATAATTTGGCTATATGTTGCACATTTAGCCATTTGTAGTACAAGTTAGTGAATTGGTGCACATGCCTTAAATTTGTCCAACAAATTAGATATGTATTCCCTAAGTTTGACACATGGCATATGGCATGTAGCATATTGCCACATAGTTCTTTAATATAAAATATATATGGAGGTAAGAGAGAAGACTTCTTCACTATTATCAATGCTTTATTCTATTTTATCTTAGTTAAAGACTTCTTGAGCATTTTGCATTTGGAAATAGTCATTTTAGCTTCAATTTTGTATGTATCTTTTAGTTATTTATTTTCTCTTTTAGTGATATAAGAGTGTATATCTAATTCTATTTATCTAAATAAACAAATAACATAAATTTTTGTTAAAGTTCATATTATTAACAATTTAATAAGTGTCTCAATTTTTTATACATGTTTTGTTTTAAAAGTGAGTGGATTATCTTACTTTTTATTGTTATATTTTAGAAGTTTCAAACTACCTATTTTTAAATTAGTATTTTTTGTTTTTCAACATTGATTGTTTCTTTAAAGAGAGTAGATTATTCTTCTTCGTAGAAATTTTCATTTAATACT